ACATTCTGTTGCTTTTGACGATCGAAACTTCGAAAGAATAGACACTGGAGTGCTTAGCTTTTACTACCAGTCTACTTTAGTGGTACACTTGCGATAATACACTAAAGTGCACATCGTGCGCCTATACGCGACAAAATGAGCTGGAGCCACTTCGACCCTTCCTACGTTTCTAACATACCATTCAAGACCGAGTGAAACGTTGCCCTATATCAGTCGGCGCTCTTGCTTTTTCAGCAGGACAATTTCAACATTCCGTCATAATCCTGCCTCAAACTTGCGTCGAGTTGGTATATCATATCAGAGCGTTTTCGCCCCGTCTAAGGCAAGTTTACAAATGCGAAGCCTCAGTTACTCCACGTGACCTAGCTCTCTGAAGGGTTTTGCCGGACTTTTGTTTTCAACAAGCGTTTCCTACAGTTCTCGTTCTCCAGTGCAAGCAAATACAAGTTTTAGCCTCTCAATGTTGCAAGGTCCTGACGCCTTCTTATGAAAACGATGAGCCGCTTTCGAGCAGCTAATCGCTTGAGGCATTTCCATTCAAGTGCTGAAGGAAACGACAAACGGTTTGTCGAAGAGCAGAAAAGTACTTCATTATGGTTCAGACAATTTTTAGCGTAGTATCGTACCCAAAAAAACGAAGGATTCGTTCGGAGTGCACAAGCAAAAATGCATAGATAGTGACCAAAACAGAACAGAGGCAAAGAAATGCCGATGGGAGAAGAAATCCAACGGATAATTTCATATGGTAAGTAACTCATTTTGGCGCGCGCTAGCGTTATTTTGCCACATACCGTAAGTCCACAACTGCTTGAAAGGAGATGATAGAGGTGAATTGCTGCTGCAGATCTGATCTCAGAAACGGTGCACGCGGTCAATTGCGGGAGCAATCTGCAGAAGTAGTTGCATCAGGACCAAGTCCTGGTCCCACCGCAATCTAATAAGAAAGCGCTCAGCATCTCTGGCTTGTTTGTGTTGGTATATTAGTCTCTTCTAGCACGGGAAGTTCTTTCTTTTTCTCGTTGGCCTGCCTAAGGTAGCCTATCTTTCACAGGATGGAGTTCTTTCCCTTCATCTACGTTATGCCGTGCTGATGACCCGCCTCATGGTAAGCGGAGATGCGTATGGATGTCAAGACTGTCCCTATCACTTCTCTGAACTTTCCCACTTCAGTTTCAAAACTTCCTGTCATAATTGATCTTGGTAAATACTGAGTATCTTATCGAGTAGCGCCGCTGACCAAACTCACACCTCAGTTGCTACACCGGGATTCGTATCACTTTTTTTGTCCAACTTCCAACTACGTTCCTATCAGATAGAAAAACAAAGTAAAAAGTAATCGAAATAAAACCAACTTTCTTCAAATTGAATTTTAAGGTGCTCTATTCAGCTGGTTCGTCGCCACATGAAGTTAGATCAACATTGATGAGCTCGAACTGAAAGTAAGAATACAGAGAGTTCTGTTCCCATTTGAGCTCATGAGAGGCGCCGGGTATCGGAGCAGAGCTTATTTGGCGTGAGGGCAGCTGGTGTCAAATTAATTAATTCTTCCGTCCATATAGACACACTTGAGTGTTCTACAAGTGTAGAACGCTGGAACAATCCTGGACGGGTATTGAGTGTATGAGAATTCCTCAGAACTTGTTGGTGAATATAGGTGAGACGAACGACCAATACAGCCCCCTTTCTCAACTTACTCCTAGCCGTGTTTGTCGTGCCTACTACTTACATTTGTATTGATGACAGTTATACTGTGATCAGCGAGTTAAAAACGCTCTATCAGGTAACAGGACTTACTAAAGATTTTTTGCAGATGAACTGAGCACAATTTGAGCTCGATTTGCGAGCACTAGTAAAAAAATTGTTAACAGGTATTTTGCGAAATTGTTGTGAAGATCTTCTGCAAACCACTTTCTCGGTAAGACTCTCCCCTTTTTTCCTAATTTTTCTACATTTTCTTGCTTCCAAAGAAACGGTCGAGTGAACAGCATACTACATCCATTGTCAATCTTGTTTCGTGTCGGGGCGTTTCCTTCATATGAGAAGATGGAGCCTAATTACATCTGGCCTATAGTAATGATTTCACGCAAAACCACATCATAACGCGCTAGTGCCCCATTGAGCACTCCTTACTAATAAGTATACATTTCGTATCCATCTACGAGATGAGGGAGGAACCTCCTCCGCTTATTATCTGATCAGGGTACTGCGGCAAAGGGCTGAGCAAGGAGCAGGAGGCTCTACAGCTCTTCAACTTGGCGTGCATGGTTTTTCCCAGGACTAGCTGGTCTATTCTCGGACGCTTTAGCGATCGGCCGCCGATTCGAGTGCCTTTCAGGTATTCGTTGCGTCACCTGAGCCGTCCACAGAGAAAATTAATCGCTTCATTTTGAGAGAAAGAATGAATAATCTTGCCTAAAATTTTCAAACCCTACATTATGAACACCTCTCAAAATATGTAACCGGTACAAAAGTGAAACAGAGAGCGGGAATCGGGATTCATTCACCTTCTCAACAGCCCTGTGTGCGTCCCAAATGAGTGTTGACCGTGACTAGCCAGGATTTGCATACTGACTTTAAATTTTTTATGCTCTGACTTCAGTGGTTTTGCTCACAAAACGACCGATAATTGTTAAGGCAGTATGGTTCATAGCATTTGAATGTTTCTTGCCCCTCTAAAGAGAGAATCAACGGAAATTCTAGAAGCAACCACCAGTTCGACACATTCGTAGCTTCGTCACTTACGGCTGTTACGATTCTTGCTCACCTATACGTAAATACACAGAAAACACAGAAAAGACTGATCACTAACCTTTGGGATGTGCCACGAATTAAGTTTCCATTCTCGGTCGTTCCAACACTTGCTTGTTTATTTACCTACTTGTTTTCTATGCGTGCAAACAACCGTTGTAATGCTGGCAAACTCGTAAACAAAAAGGTACGTTATCAGCGACCAAGAGGGCATCAGTCAAAGCGGTCACTAGGTTGCGAGAGAAAAAAAAACAGTCAAATTACTCAGGGACTGACTTGCTTCTTTTCCCGTGAATGCATGAGGGAAAACGAGTGAAGAAGATATCATATTGAGCCTTTTGAGTGCAAAACTGTAGGTCCAAAAGGTTCTGTCGGACATTTGGTTATGACACGACCAATGTTATAAATTATGAGAATCTGCTAATTTACATCCTGCTGCGTTTTTCTTCTCGATTATGACTAACACAGTTTAGGAGTCCGAAAGGAGGAAATGCGCCAGGGTTACCAGGAATAATCCGTCATTTCATAGCCCGATCTGTTGGCGGAGGTAGCAGCGTTTCCTTTTTACTCCATCATCATCCCATACCTCGTCTTCGCCTTGTTAAAATGCTAATAAAACTCTCCAAAGACTGCAGAACCACCTTCTGGGCCTGCGTTTTGCCCTATCGAGGCCTTCACCAATATAGACTTAACGAAGTGAAAACGGTACTGGGGAAGGAACCGAAATGGATGGACACCTTTTTGAAGGCCTGGTATCGCTAGCGCTACGCTGGATCTCAGATTCAAAGTGGGTTCTTAGGCTAATAATTATTTTTGAGTTAAGTTAGTTAGTTTTCTTGTTTGTCCAACCATAATTTCTTGGTTGTTGCAGACTCTTCCGTGACTCTGCGGTTTCCGTGCCTTTTCCTTTTTTTTAATTAAGAACGCATTGATAAAAACTGCCTCGTCAAGAAGAAGAAGGGTCATTCTTGAGAAGTGGCGCTCCTTCAGTCCACTAGCGAAATGCCGAGATTTTTGGCAATCAAGTTCGACAACACGTTTTAGGTATGCCTTTATGGCATGCAAAGCCAATGCAAGACGAACTCTCAATACTCGAGCTTTGCGCTTTCGGATCAAGAGAGACAGGGATATCCAAGCCTTGCTTCTTCTTGTAGCTAGGATATCGCAGCAGGATATGGTCTCAGCAGTTTCTATTGTTTGATTCTCTAGTCTGCCAATCGCGGTTGGCTCTTGACTCAGTGCTCGGTTTGCTTGTTTAGGAAGGGGTGGGCTGATCGTCGAAGGGCGAGGACGGGTAATGTGAAGGAGGCGGTGGAGGGAGAGAGTCGCGGTAGGGGGCGGTGCCGTGGGAGTGGTCAGCTATCACAGCTAGCCACGCTCGCGCAACTCCCGAACCCCTCATCACCAACCTCCTTCCTCGTCAGCGCCTTTCAAATCATTCGATATCTTATCCGAAATCTCACACGCTCACTGGCCAGGATTACTACAGTTAGGGCAGGTTTGAGGTCTCACTCTCAAGGACATAGAGACATCACAAAAGGGACCAAGAGTCAGGACCAGAAGCACTTTTACAAATCTCTATTCACTTTTTTCTGTGGAACCCTGCACTCCCATATCTGCCTAAACAGGTATCCTTTCATCACTTCTCCCGCTGTCCCCACAATTTTCGTTGACCACTGGCGTTTTCTGATTGGAGAACATTATCTCATCTTCGTCGTTTGTGTGATGGCTCTCGATGCTAATGGAAGTCTATAAGCCTGGTGTAAGCATCGCAATTCCACTGCCTGTGCCGATTTTCCTTCGAGAAATTCGAGATTTTTCATATCCATTATGGTCAGCACTATTCCTGCTGTTCTATTTCTGCTACTACCGCCTTATTAACCCGTTTTTGAGCTCTTCTGTTGTTCAGAAACAATGCAGTACTTGCACTGCGTGGAGTATTTAGTGAAATGAAATTTTCACATCTATTGCTTGCCGTGTTTCGTTATTGCACTGCATTTTACATAATCTTTCTTAGATAGTTTGGAATGAATGTTATGTGCGAAGTTTTTAAAATACTCGGTACAGTGATTACGCGTTGTACCTCCCAGTCGAGCTTATTTTGCTCATGCTCCGTTGTTTCATGATTACTTTCATCGTTAATCTCACTTTCTGTACTTAGTTTTCAGTAGTTGATCTGAGTTCTACCGTAATCAAATTTAGGGCTACAGTAGGCAGTTCGTGAGTTGTTCATTGAACCACGACGAACCGCCATGGTAATACGGGCAATCTGCCTCCTACACCTTGCACATTTCACATTTTGCTGCTTGTTGGAAAATGGCAGGAGTGCAGTGTACCTATCAGTCGTGGAAGATGTGAAACCTGGTAAGCTTGATAAACTTTCAGCCCGAACGCGCTTTTCTGCAGTAATAATTGGTCAGCGTTGTTTTGCGATAGATTCGTTGCCGGGAAGTCACTCTATTTCAAATTTATCGAGATTGAGGTGAACGCTGCCTACCAGAGTTATCGTCCTCATTGGCGCTGAGAGGACAATCGCGCAACGCCGAGGAGGTCGGCCAACTCTCACCTGATTATGGCAATTATCACCCGTCTGCATGGTGTTTAAGCACAAACAGACAAGCGCTTTGCTCGCGATTACATGCGGATTATCCTCTTCTTAATCAACATTCGGCCAGGTTGCAATCAACGAGGGAACGGCTCAGTATATCGCGCTACCGTATCTTACAATGGTCCCTTCATAGCGCTGCAAAATCAATGTTTCCTGAGTATGATGGAATGGCTATACTCAGCGAAATAGTTCACATTGATTTGTGTCACTATTATTGCAGGAGGACAATAATGCGTAATTGAAAAACGGGATAAGGAAGAGGGTTTTCCGACACTCCGCTCACTGAAATCCTCTTTATTCAATTCTTCTAGAACTTCTCCAGGATTTCCCTTCACAAGCATGACCTCGCTTATACTGGAAAACTATACAGTCACTAAAAAGTAATTAATGAACTTTCTAAGACAGCGACCGCAGCCTTAAAAAAGGTCAATAAACGTTGTCTAACAGAAGGGAAGGTTTCCACTTAGTTGTTAGTCAAAAAAGAATACCAGATATAGAAGTGCTAAGTTCCCAGCACCTTGAGAGGTTACGGTATAACCTTGACATGTTCGATTTTAAAGTAAACCAAATATACGGAAGCCTGAGTGATTGAGTTTTCGGCGCTTTTTGTAATGTTCTTTGCTCGTAGCCATTCTGAAACATTACAGTTAAAGCTTTTCTCCTTTTTTTCATTTCTTCTTTGTCAGTCCATTTTCTTAAGCCTTTCCTTCTGAATGGCATGTTTGTTGAATCAGTAAAATTTAGATATTCTTGAGATAAGTCATTTCTCAGCTATTGCACCATTACCCCCCAGTAGAGGTGAGATGAGTCAGAAATAATTTTTTACTGAAACTCCCCCTAGAGGTTATCGAGGTCTTGATCACGAATAAGTTTTGTTTTTTCACGAGCATTTTTGTCGCTGGTGCCGAAATGGCTCCTTATGGCGCCAGCCGGTGCCACTTTGTCACGGGAGTTGACTTCGCCAAATTCGGTATGAACTTCTATATAGGGCTCATAGGTGTCCAGATTGAGAATATGATCCGTTTTTGCCACTCGCACTGATTAACGAATAGCTTCTCACCCTTGAGCCCTCCCCCTTATAGCGCCCACGACCATGCTAGGAGAGGGAATGAAGCTCCGGAGTGGGTAAACCACGCACTTGACAAAAGTTGAAGTATGTGAAACCACACGGTGAGAGGCTCATTCATTTTTAAGCCCTCCACTCTCCAAAAAAACAGTTGATTGCGATCCAATTAGTGAGGATGCAGACGAGCGGGAAATAGACGCCACATAGTGCCGCCTACAAAAGCGCATGTCATATTCGTAACCAGGGCCCCAAATAAACGCTAGGCAAAAGTTTGCAGCGAATTTGGTGAGAATCAGTCGTGGCATCACCTTGCGCCAAATGGCGCTAATTTGGTGCCAGCGCCAAAAATGAATATTGTATTCGTGATCAGGACCCTCAATAACCCTAATAGTAGAAAGCGAAATAAAAGTTTTTTAACTAATCTCACTTCTACTGGGGTTGCTATAGTGCGACTGCTTTCAAGGGCCTTGTCGAAAAAAGCGGGACCGTTTTGCTTTTTCAGCAAAGCTCTTGAAAGCCGCTCCAGTGGTGTTTATAACAAAAGCAAAACAGTAAATAAAAAGTAAAAACAGTAAAAAGGGCAGTGGTTCGATTTTACGAAGTCTCGACTGTTAGTACAGACTACCACTGATGCGATTTCTTTCATAACTCCGCTCAGGAATCGTTTAGCAGATTTGGAGGTGAATTTGAGATCAGCGCTTAAAAGCACATCTAGGAGAATATCTATATCTCCTGTTGAATGGCCATGACGGACCTAGGATCTTTTCCGCTCCTTGAATGCAAGCGTTCCATTACATCATTAGATCTACTCTATGGAAATGGGTCTATGCCTTTGCTTTGCCACTTTTAACCTCATATGCTGGCTTTGGAAAATATTAGTACGCGAATTTTTGATTAAAAAGAATGGATGAATAAATAATAAATGTTAATCTAGGCTTCATTTCTTGTTAATTTTTCTTTTTAAATCCCTGCGAGTGCATGTACATTCATGAAAAAAATTGTGTCATAGTCGGATTTTGAGCATTCGAATAGTCTTTGAAGAGTGGTAGTGATAGGTGAATGAGAGAGCCGACGTGTGCATACGTTTTTATTGATGTTTTACAGAATTGCGGTGACCATTTTACAAAGTGCCGTTGTTGTTTTTCCTGTATAATCACCGCCATCAGAGTTTTATGACTTGAACACCTGTAGTAAAGTAATTTGTGAGAAATTCGGCGAGACGTGGCTAGCCATCTAGCCAGCAAACGGTAAGACGGTCAGCGCCAGCGCCGCCACCATCGCAGCGTGATTGTGTTGAACACGAAAAACAAGGTATTCTCGATCTTTCCTAGCTGATGCAATTTATCGCGGTGAGAACTACCTTGCACGACCGACCGACTGGCCAACCGACCACTAGTGTTGTCGTCGGCGTCGGCGGAGGACCTCTAAACGACATCGTTGTCGTGCAGACTTTATGTCCGGTAATTTATCATACGTATAACGAGTGAGAAGTGCGACGACCTTAGTGAGATCGGTAAATAGAACCGAGCAGTACGCTTTGAAAGTTGATCATTGAAATTCGCTAGTAGAGCTACTCTGACGACGATTATTCAGGTGACGTTATTGGACATCTACCCATCGAAGGAAAGACTAATGGTACGAAACCCGATATCCAACTACGAATTGTGAAAGGAAGTGACATTGCTCGCATAGTGCCTGGCTCAAAGGATCTAGTCATTGAGAAGGAGCTGGATAGAGATGAGGTGATAATCAGAGATTCAACTTCTTCGGAAAACTATGTAGCGAATTCTTGCACGTATGAAAGTATACAAAAGATCACCAGAGCGCTGTCAGAGTTCGAAGATAGATATTTTTCCAGGTGTTGGGAGAAACCTATCACCTCCTTAAATGCTATTTCCTCTCCTGCTACTCTAGTTTCCATTCCACCTCACTCCTTATGTGAAGCCTACTTAGCCATCACTAACTAAAGAAAGCTGGCGGCTGAACGGTCGACCCCGATTCGATCACCAATTATGCTAGTTATCTCACATTCACATTTGATAGAGAGGAACGGGAACGAGTTAAACCTAACCTCGCTCGACTAGGGAAGCCGGAATAAGCAGAGAAGTGGTAGAGGTTTTACGACTAAACGGCGAGCTCTGAGATCTGTAAAAAAAAACTTTGATCAAGAAAGTCAGAAGAGGTGTGAAAGGCGAAGAATCTTTCTTTTCCCGGGCAGCGATCGAAATTCATGCCTACAAGGGAGGAGAAAATTATTTTGGGCTAAAGGCAAGGGTTATGGCGTGAGGACGTACGCCGCGAATGAATGTCAGCGGTCGCAGCGGTCTAGCGTAAGCTTTCTTTCGGTACACTGTCGAGTCGCTGCAAAAGTAGCACCCCTGTGATTAGTGGTTCTGTTACCTCATTAAACGAGAAAAATCTTCCGAAGGTCTAATCGCGACCATGCCTTTAAATAAGGCGCCGTAGTGGCGTCGGATCACTTTCTGCCCAGAAGTGCGGGATTACGCTAACGCTTGCGTTCAAGCTTGGGAAGGAATTCGACGCTCACTGTGCCGTCTTGCTCACAAAGACTTGCTTTAGTTTAAAATATATTATTTAGACATTTATTAAACTTTCACCTCAAAACTAGCATGAAACTGTTTTATGTCAGGGACAAGGAAAATTTGAGTTAGTGGTAGAATGCATCTCTCAGAATCTCGACAGCGACTTCAGTCAGGTAATGTTCCACATTCCATGAGGAAATGTAAATGTTTACTTTTGTGCAAAAATTTTCAGCTAAACATCTCAGTATTTGTCACCGTGCAAGACGTCAACGACAATGCACCAGTCTTTGACTTACCTGAGTATAATATTACTATTAAGGAGGAGTTACCTCAAGGTACGCGTATACATTTTTCAGGGGTTTTCCGGGGTAAATAAGTTAAGCAGAATGCTTCTTTCATTTACGTATTTCACGTTCTGGCAGGGGCTTTGCCGTAAAAAGCTCCATTCGTGGGTCTTCTTACCGTTGTATTACCCAAGAAATCATGTTTTGATATTGCGAATGTGCAGTAGGATCGTGGCACATATGTATGTGCATTTACATGGAATCATTCATTCAAGCTCTTCTTAGATACCATCGTTTTTACCGACTTCGAAGCGACGGATCGCGATCAACCGGGTCCAAACAGCTTCATACTTTATTCGATAGCTCCAGGTCCTCATTCGGATCTACTCGGAATTGCTGACCCATTCAGACCAGTTGTTACGATAAAAGTGAGCTAATGAAGAAGTTGTGCTCCAAATCATGCACTGATTTATTTATTCATTTACTCCTTTCAGAACCGCATCGATTACGAAAAAATCCGAAGTTTTGATGTAATTTTGGAAGCCCGAGACCAAGGTGAACCATCATTGTCAACCTCGGCGCCACTTCACGTCACCGTTGAAGACGTCGATGATCGCCCTCCTTATTTCCGACATCAGTACTACACATGCCATAGCATTAAAGAAGTAGGTTTTTTGGTTTGATTTCAACATTGCACAGTGGCAGAGAATGGTGTACCGCTAGGAAGCTTTTCAATCCTGAACAACTGATTCTCAAAACCTTCACGTTTATGTAGTGTCTCATCAGCCTAAGCACATGAGGAATGAGACATGTGGAAATGACTTAGCCGATCTCTCTAAAAACGACCAATTGTGAAACGCAGTGGGGCAAAGGTTTACGGACTACTTGAACGCAGGGTCAACCCTACGTTGGTACAAGTACCAACGGGGGGGGTCGTACTTGGTTTAGCTTGGAGGGGGGGGCCGTACCCACTTTAGTCGCTTGAAATCACGTGTGGAATTGAGTCAAGCTAAGATTTCATGGGTAGTAGGCTGGGCGAGTGGAGGGACGCGGGGTTTGTTGAGTTGAGTGGTATCAAAATTAAGTACTATAGAGGCGATGATGGTGGTCGAGGTGTCGAAAAGGGAATCATATCAAATAAACCTTGTGGGAGGGGGGTCGTAAAAATTTTTCAGAAAGTAACAACGGTAGGACCGACCCTGCGCGCCTGGCTCAGCTTCGCATCCCAAGAAGGAAGGTAAGAGCCCTAATACAGCCTTGGAGGAGTTAGCGACAGCAGGGGGTTAGCCAGTTACAGTGTGGCAAATGTTTGAATGTGTGAGATCACAGGAGTCATGAGCCGCTGTAAATAGGGTGACCGTAATTATAAGGACCAAGACATTATGACGTCAAAAATCCATTGTGACTTGGACCGAACAAACTTCAGGAAAGTGTTTGTCAGTGTCATCTCAAAGCAAATTCGGATTAGGATTGAGATCTGCGTCACTGCGTTTACACGAGCTCTTAAGTGTAGAGGAATGGCGTGTGCTGTGGCACGCAACTGAGGAGTGTCAAAATTTTTCCGCGCTTTTGCTCTGCCTTCTTCAGAGGATCAAAGCTTTCTGGAGCCATTTGCGCTTGTCTCCAGGATGTACCATACAGGAAGCATAGAGAAATTAAGTGGACTATTCGTATGTAGCCATTCTTCGAATGCAATGAACGCGAGAAATCTCTTCATAGGATTTCTCCTTTATTCTCGGGTGCTCGATCTTGTAGAGAGTCCCTAGTAGATCACTCGAGTGGATTTCTATCCACGACAGATGTGGTGTCTTCAAACTGTCCAGTTTTTTACATAAATTTTTCCGTTTTGGGGGTGCGAAGTCGACAAGAGGAGAGCGAAATTCTGCATCTGACAATTGTCTTGGTGGTAACTGTAATCTTACAATCTCCGCATTTTCCATCTGTATATTTCCGAACAAATTGAATCGTTCACTTTTGCCCATAAGAGCTTACCTCATACGTTGACTGCACCTAGGTGTAGCGTGCCGGAGCCCCTGACTTCAATTTAAGGATTGACGTACGTGACGCTAGTTTCTTTTTCAATGATTTTGAGAACAGTGTGAAATTTGATTCAAAAGGGACAACACTGTTCCCCGATACAGAGTGCACAAAAAGAGGTGAAAATGGACTCAATTTAAGGATTGACGTACCGTGACGTAGTTTTTTTCAATGATTTTGAAACAGTGTGAAATTTGATTAAAAGGGACAAAACTGTTCCCCGATACAGAGTGCACAAAAAGAGGTGAAAATGGAGAGGACTACGCGCACACGCGGTGTTCACAATTTTGGACACTGTAGACGAGAAAAGCGCGCGAGCTGCTTTGAGAAATTCCTGATATAGGGCTTATCTGGGGGATGAAGAATATTTCTTTGGGGCAAAACCTTCAGAAAAAGAAAACTAAGAGTCAAATGAGAAGATAATTCAGTCATTATAAGGAAATGTTTAGAAGAGAAAAGGATAAAAAGGTAAAGCTTCTGCCGTTGATCAATCCCGTCTTGGGATATTACACGCATTCTACTTCCATTTGTACATTCGTAGTGGCGTTTTGAATGCGATGTGGCCTATACAACGACTTGCGGGGGCCAGCCAATGTACAACACAGTGTTTTTTATCCTCCCAGACACGTCTGGTACCAATTAACCGACCGCGGAGGGATGGAAGGCTTGGTTGGCCCCGGCGACTCCCGACCCGGAATTGATCCCCAGACCGCTCGTGCCGTAAGCGTGCCACTTGCCACTATACCACTTCCGCCCTTAGAAGAAAAAAATTGGTGTTAATTATCGAACATAGAAAACTAGTACCTTTTATCAACAAAATTTCTACGGTTTCTAAGATAAGGACCTTACACGTAGGGCCGGCTGGTGGACCTGAATTGTGGAGCTCCGAAAATGAGCCCTGTACCCTCAACCACTTAACTGCTTCATTATTTCAAAAAAAAACATAATATTATAAACACATTGCATAAAGCTGACAGCAAAAATCATAATGATTTTTGTAACAAAAGTGATCCCACTCAAAATTTCGAATTCTTTCCAAGGAACACATTCCTGAGCATTCTCGAACGAGTTCTTTTAGTATCATATGAGAATTCCAATGCATTCATCTCCTTCCCATTTGCATATTTATGATGCTGAGTTTACAATATTGCTTCAAGCTACTGCTTGAGAAGTTTCCGTTGCAACATCTTTGGACTAATCTCCTGTCGCAACCATCACCAGAATAATTACTGAATAAGCAGTGATAAATCCAATTACTAGTGGACATCACGCACGTTGATGAACCTCGCGCCAGCATTCAGACACCTAAAGACTCTGCCTTGCAATTTTCCTATTATGAGTCACACCGAGTCAGCAGAACCCCAGGCTTTTACATCGCCAGCAAGGTTCCAAATGTCTAAAGAAGGAGACGAGGGGTCTTGAGAGGGGTACAAAGGCAATGAAATTTTTTGTTGTATTGTACCGAAACACCATAAAAGAGAAATTAAAGAGAAGACGATCCAATGTCAGTCTTCGTTCCCACTTACAGGCATTTTTATTCCAGTGCGTATTTGAGCGGTTTTGTCCACCGTTTGAGCTTATGTCAATAAATAAACCCCGGGAGCAGTAGAGGGCTTCGCCGGCCAGAACAACATTTTGGTCACAGATTGAATCCCAAACCACGTGTGAGGTAGCAGCGTTACTTGCTGCTGAGAGCTTCCCACATCCTTGCTGAATGCTATACCATAAATAGAAGAACACACGGGGTGCAAAAAAAAACTGTTTTGCTCAAGACACACATCAAACTTTCGTTGCTTAGGGTGCCGCCGCTGATAGGCGTATTACGGCAAAAATATCTATTCTTAGATCTCTATAAAAGTAGGTAAAAGGGTAGAAAGTAGTAAGGGCATAGGAGTGGGCCTTCCTACACACTTCTCACCACCTCCAAAACACACATCGGCTGTCGCCGTCAAGCTTAAAGGAATCCTTCGCGGAAAATTCTTGCATTCTTTCTTGACATGAATGTGTCAGCTGCTATCACTGGAAACAGCACACAGAGTTTCACGCATGAAGACTCGGTTTCAAGAGAGAAACAAAGTACAAGAAATACACTCTATGGACGATCGAAGGTAGTTCGGGCGGAGCCAAAGGCGGGCATGGAAAGAAGTTGGCTTTTGGCCGGCTACGTAGCAGGAGACGCAATGAAAGAATCTTGTTAAAATGCACGATTTCGGAGAGTAGAGACAAATCGATCGATAGAATAGGATGGAGTAGAAGTGTAAGATGAGAAAGGAACAAAGCAGAAGGCCAAAAAGGGTTTCTAGTGAAGGCACTCCGAGAACCAAGTGGAAGCATCCCCATCGCCAGCATTTGTGAAAGACGTCCGCGAACACTTTGAGCCCGTAGCAGACGTTTCGATTTTTTGAATTTTTTACCGATACAAAGGCAATATTTTTGTTCTTTTCATTATTATCGTGGATAATGGGTCTCAAGCGAGTGATCTGTGGCTGAAATCAAATCATGCTCTTTCCGTGAAGGTTTCCTTCAAGGAGGCCCACACTCGACGGTGTAGAAACCATTACAAAGATCTCGGATGGATTTAAATGCGCTGCAAATGACCGCTTTGCAACACAAAAGTTATCGCTAACATAACTAGCAATTGATGATTTATCAAAACTATCAACATAACGAGTGCTCTCCATATAAAGGTGTGGCAAACCGGTTTTCAATAGGCTTAAGTAATAAGATTCATCTGAGGAAGGAGCGAGAGGAGCCGTACTATTTATTTTGCTTATAATGTTTTTTCTTTCTGTGAAGGCAGGATTTTTTGGTCCCCTCTATAATGGCGTATACATGACAAAAAAACATGCTGGCAATGATCGCGCTGTGATTTGGGACGTACCATCATAGGTTCTGATGTGCAATGCTGTCCACCTGGCGCCACGTCGTCTCTGAATACGCATAGCTGCGCCAGATCGCCGATGACAATTGGGTCAAACATTTCAGTAGTACGTAAATATAGGAACGTTTATGTTTTCAAGAACAAAAGCAGAAATACTGCTGTATACCAAGAAAGTTGACCGTCGCAGAAACCAGACACCCTTCTTAATACTAATTAACCCAATCATAATTACAGAACGATCAGCTCCTCGTCGAGCCCGAGGCAATTAAGGCGCGTGACGGTGACGAATTGGATGCCGACATTGAGTATGGAATCTTTGGAGGTAACACACAATAATAGATTACGCCTTGAGATCTATGTGCTCCTGAAAGAACAAGCGAATAACCACTCACTTTGACAAACTATAAACCGCGTTAATTTCTAGAGTTTTCAAACCATTTCTCGATCGACAACGATGGAAATATCTTCGTGAAGATAAGTCCTCCACCTCCTCGTGCGACTTTTTTCGTTTATGTGAGTTTGCCTCTCTCAAGAGAAATTTCCACAGGGCTTTTAAAACATGATTGCTGAGCTGAACACGCAACTGAGCTCCTAGTAAGCTCATCGAGTTCACCTAGCCTTTTCCACACTATGACTCGCGTTTGGTTACGGAAGCGAAACAAAGGGTCTAAAGCCACTTGATTCGTATTTTTAAGTAGCCGGACGGAGACTGTTATATTTTTTATTGATCATTGATAAGCAAGTAAGAAAAGGCTGCAACTTCAAAGTGATTTTGATGAGACGGACGTTGCTCGACATTACAGTTAATATTTATAAAGATATAGGCTGATATTCCACACCGAATATAAATCTGGTAAATATCCACGCTAACACTGAAATGAATCGACGATCGGTGTGCTTGTCGCCTTCTAGAGGAGTGATGCTGAACGATGGATTCATTTTAGGCTACCAGCGCAGCGGCAAATTTTGGGTCTTTGGCAGGTAATCAGCGAAATGTCATCAGCTAGGGATATCACATTAGGGTTAGCATTCTAGATAGCATATTTTAAGGGTGTGTAAAACGTGATTCGGCAGCCTTTATCGGCTCGCATCTGTGAATCTGTCCATTCATTGGTCTACTTTGCATTATTACCATAAGGAACTGAATCTGAGAAATGGGATGAAATGTGAACTCGTTGAAAGCTAACTCGTATTTTCATCAGGCGCTGCTTGTTAGTTAGCGACAGGTTTTTTTCAGTACGTGTGCACGCAGTTGGTCTAGTTTATAGGTCCAAGTGAATGATCAGCCTACGTAGTGAGAAACCAATCATGTAGTGACACCGTTACCATACCTGTTCCACCACCGTAGTTCATGGTTTCATCTAAACCTTGATTGGATTTCTGTCGAAAAACATTGTTTGGAAACGAGCTGCATTATGTTTAGTCATTTCTACGTGTTGATTTCAAGGCACACGAGAAAGGCAATCCAGAGAAGAACGCTACAGCAATAGTTTCTCTCTCATTGGAGAAGTCAATACGATTCGAACATGACTCGTATTCCCTAAGGGTATGTTAGCTGTTCAGTTCAGGACAACAAATAGTAATGAGGGTCTGGTGATCGCTGGTTTCAGATAACACCGTCTATGCCACTTCATACTGTACTGCTCACAGTGAAGGCATTTTCAAGTCAGGTGCGTGAATTATGATTCCCTTAAAAAGCGAACTAAAGAAAGATTCCATCTTTCAGGGTGCGGCAGTCCGCTATTCGCTGGGAAATGTGAATGCCGTCGTGTCCGTTGGCGAAACCACTGGGCAATTGACATTTGCTGGACTACCAAAAGTAAAAGCAGGGATCCTTCAGTATGAGCTAATGGCCACGAACCGAATAGAGGTGAGCACTAGAATCTTGGGTGATGCCCGACGAATGCACTTGCTGGAATTGCCAATGTTTCGCTTAGTTGGTGAAAAAAGTGAAACTAACAGAGCTATGTGAAGAGTCGCTCACTGACAGCTAAAAGCTTTAAGGAGAATTCCATGATAGGGTCGGAGGTCGAAGAATAAAAAGTACTAGTGGAATGATAGACGGACTGTCATAGCAGAGGATATGCCCCCAGCGGTCGATTAGCACAGTCGTTCTCGAGCCGCTAACGCCGTGGCACGCCCACACTCCACCGGATGAGCCTCTAGCCGACTAGCAGAGAATGAGTTAGCGGAAGAGGGCAGCATCGATGCAATTCGCTCCCATTTTTGATTTATGAGCCGTTTTTCATGTTTTTTTTTCTTTACATGCTGCACCTCTACCTCTTTTACTAATGGGATTGCCTTCCTATCGTGAGCTCCGTTATTGTCATTAATTTCTGCGACTATACAGACCTTGCGTTCCTGCTCCTTAGAGGTACTGGAGGTGATGGCTGGGAGTTGGAACGAAAAATCGTTTGTGAAAGGGTGTTGGAAGTCGTTATTTCCACCCCTCCCCCCCCCCCTCCCACCTTTCACTCCACTGCGATCGGATCCTTTTCTTTGATGACCACTAAGAAGGAGCAATCAACACATTCACGACGACGCCCCTTTTCCACTTTCGGTCGTGTGGGCGCCGCCGCCTCACCACATAACCTCAGATTTTTTGTAAATAAGCAAAAACATGAATGTCACAGAATTATTTCTGCAATATCCAATGCGTAATGATTATCTGAACATATGACAGTAGGATTTTGATCAGAACGACAGATAGTGATTACGAAAAGAGAGCATTCATTCACTTTCCCCGTGTAGGAATTTAAAAGCATTTTACGCTCGATTACGAGGTTTGCCCACCTATCTGCCCATTCCCAGTTGGCAGCCCATACGGGCTGCCATCGGCGTGAATGTGTTAAATACGGTTACGATTACGATAATAAACGGCAGTTTGCCGCAGATGTTAGTGAATTGCTCGTTTCGCAAAGTCTGACATCAGCCTAAGGCGTTCACGTTGTCGCCTGAGCGGAGGTGGGAAGTAATCTGAAATACGCTTGCACCAGCGCTCCAGTTCTACCACTGCTGGAGGATCTCTGCTTGTGCTTATTGATGGACGAGAATACGAAGATGACTTACTGTCGTATTCTGCTTATCCCTGATTGATCAACACGGTGGTGATGCCGTAATAACTTGGGTGTAATAGTAGGTACTCAGTGTTCCAACCAAGCGCTAAACATTGCTGTGCCTCAAATAATCGCACTCTTCAGACAACCAAAGCCAAGCTGACGGTGGTCGTGGAGACAGAATCAGGCTGCTGTTCACGAATGGAATTCGAGAAACAAGAGTATCATTTACAAATGGGATCTTTCCCTGTGATAGGTACTATCAACGTCCGCGGGCAACAAAAGCCGAACTATAGGCTCATGAATATGAACAAGTTAGTTATTTATAACAACATATCATGCTTTTTTAGCATAATGAGCATTCGTCAGTTTTCCGAATCCCTTTGCTGAAAATCTTTTGCGTTGACGACGTTCATTATATTTCGTCAAGACTAAGAAATCTAAACAAAAGCAGAGAATCATGCCTTTCGCTGTACAGTCGAACACTGCACATACCGATATCCTAGTGAACTTCCTTTCGCATTCGGTGCTCCCATTGGAGAATAAATAGTAAATGGTACATGGAATGATATAGATCAGATTAAAATAACAACACTCCCATTTTTCGGCGAACGAAAGCCAGAATGCGGGTGTTAAAAAACCGTCGGGGTTCAGATTGCCCATGCCCTCGACGACAATGCATTCACATTAATAACGCGTTTTTGAGCACTGTACCGTTCTACAGCTGCCAATTTAGGTATTTTGTCGTCGATCAAGATGGTGTGGTTCGCCTTCAACTGGAATCACGTCCACCTTGTGCTACATGTGAATTGGTTGTATTAGCTACTAGGGACGACGGCGCTACCAGTGTGGCAAAGGTAATGAGTTTAATCAAAGTTCGGAGGATAATTTGCCTTTGAACTTAAACACTATTGACCGGCTCGCTCAGTGATAACATTTTTCTTGCGAACAAATCCCGAAATCTTCGCTTTTCATTCGAAAGTTGCCCTCTGAAGTTTTTTTTTCCTTCGACCCTTAAGATAAAGTCACATCTCATGATTACTTGATGTGATGATACCTTTATACGAGAGAGCCATATTGGTAGGCAAATTTGTGATCGAGTCCTCTATGTTCATACTCTAGTCGCTTCCACGTTTTCTCCTTCGTCCTGGCGCCCATAGCATCTTGTTACTTACTGCTATATGTATTACTAAAAATCCGCAAAAAGGAGGGAAAGTTTTCTGCCGGTCACGCGACGCTTCCAAGAATTACGTCTTTCCTACGCAACGGTCGAAAATGAGCCATTACCTCGTCGGGGATATCGTTTTATCTCCATGGTTTCTGTTTATTTCTCCTCCATCCCTGTTCCACATCTGAGGGGTCTGCCTCCAAACTTACCATTTCGTCTTATGGTAGCCATGAAGTTTCCTTACCCTTAAAGGCAAAGTTCGGGCTCAGACCCCTCCCCCCAAAAAAAAGCCCTTAAAGTGGCTAGAAGTGCATGGGACGCTAATGCAGGCGACTCGCCAAGTTCCCGCATTCAAATGCGTCACTAAGGCGCTAGGGGCCAAGGACTTTAACACGCTCCACCTGTTGCGAACGCTCCGCCCACCGCTCGATATTTTGTCAGCGTCGCAATGCTGGACTGCTATGCTCTCTTATCTCGGATTTCTCTACCGCTCTCCACGCTCACATAATCTCTCATATCCCTGCCGGCCTTTTGAACTCCTCCGCAAAGTACAGCGAAAGGCTCGTATTTCCTAGGTATTTCACGTTTTTTCCTTTTTTCACCACTGGCGGTCCACCTGCCGCCCCTACATCACATATGAGTCTTGCCTTTAACAAATATCACACTCACGACATTTTACGTTATGATTTTTTTATGACCGAAATGATTTTTTTACAGATTATTGTAAAAAATCCGTCATTTGCCGCCACGTCGTCTTCAATCTTGACTGTGATGATATTCGTGATCTTGGCGTTAATTTTCGCCTTGTTACTGGTATTCGTGTTTCGAAAAGCGCACTACGCGTGAGTTTGTGATTCATTTTGTTGCATGTTACGTCTTTAAGCGCCTAGCCCATGTGCACTCTGCGTCTCTTTTGTCAAAGTTATCCGTGTTCAACTGTCCTACGCCTCGCTTGGTAATCTAATGCTTTTGGAGGCAGAGTTTATGATGAAATATCTTGCCAAAACTCCAAAGAAGATAAGCCTTTGCCGAAACCTGTTCCATTACTTAGGAGAAACCTACCAACGGAGCAAAGTTTCCGTATGCATCTTTCAGACCACGCGGATGCCTAGAAAATTAGGAAAATTTCCCACAAGGACCAAATTTGTGAAGGCATCTGTTGCCGTCACCCGAGTCGGTTTCAGGAAAATTTTCTACCGCTCTTGCAGCAATAGAAACGGCTCAATCAGTGAGCTAGCCGAGAATGTCGGTTTTAAACATGAAATCTCGAAATAACTTCAATATTCACTTCAGAGAATTTAAGACAGCATTCAGATGCCTGAACAAGATAGAATTAAATTTTTAAAATTAAAAATTAGAATTGGAGTTCAGATTTAGAAGGATTCGATGGTTTTTTTTTTCAGAGTTTCTGTAGTTTTCATATATGTTTAGCAGCTCAATGCGAATAGTGGAAATTGGAATTTGTTTCTCACGTCACTGTTCTTTCCAAGTATTTCTCCCGACCTCCTACAGTTGATTTCACTTTTAAAAACGAAACATTCATGGGGTGATGGGATCTAAAGGAGGCTTCACACCCAGCCTTCTATGAACATGGAAAGCCACCCATTGTTTTAAAGCCGGTGCCTGGCAATCCTCCTCCTCAGTGAGGTCGCATAAAATAGAGACACCACTCAATTGCTCGGAGCAAGCTTAAGACTAGGCCTGGGCCCAATCATAGGTTCAAGCATAAATAAGCCAATGTGTGAACACAAGCCTAAGCCTACACCTAAAACCAGGCTTGAAGGCAAACTCCGGGATAAAACGTGGGACTTATGTACCTTTTCAACTATAAAGTACTGAGTGCTAAGTGAATCGATGCTAAAGAAAAAAAGCAGGAAGTACTTCCGAAAAAGTCCGAAATAACCAATTTCTCTTCGTTAGACGCTTAGAAGCCAGCGCTGGGAGAATTACGTGTCTGGACGTGTCCACAGCAACTGCTGGCTTTATGCCAGCAACCGACACGGCTACAAAAAATCAGCAGTGAAAACTGATTGCCTCTAATTTCGCTATTTTTACTACTTACCTGTACATTTTTTGTTTTTTGCCCATCGCAAAAATTTGATTATTACTAGAATGAATGACTAGGTTCTCGATAATGGTCTATAGGCTTTGATGTTGGTTTTCGCAGTTGCGATTCGCTGAATATTCCTCTACAAGTTTCCAAATAACAACTTAATATCTAGTGTTCCATGCGGTTGTTTGGAAGGTCGCATGGAAAAGTGGGCGGGCTCAATGGGATTGGGGCGGCGCCAATGCTCCAACCTGGGATCCTAGCGCCTAAACCTTATCAAATCGCCCCGCCACTTCTGCACATGGCCTGTTCTTGCGTACTGCTGCATATTTGACGAGGAAAACCTAAATTTCGCCGGAAATCCCGAAATTTGCCTTTAAGTTTAGGCTTCAGTGATCCTGACCCGACCCCAGGTGAGAACTGAACGTCTTCCGGAAAAACAGTGCGTTAGAGAAGGTTCGGACTCCTTAATCGGAGACGCTGAAATTTGGATTGCTGACATGATTGGTTCATGGAAGAAACTTCATCGCGGTATTCAATTTTTGAGGAAAAAGCAAGAAAACGCGATAGCTTTCATGGCGATATAGGTTGAATGAAGTACTTTGTGCTATTAGGCCAAAGTGACTCAACAAAACAAGAAAACACGCAGATGCGGGCGGAAATTAATGAAAGACTCTCGCAGATGGCTGGCAGTAGGTTCGGAAGGTTTGCTCAAAATGTTAAATTTAGAACGTTGTTGAAAAAACTCGATCACTCTGAACTTGTCCTGAAAAGATTGGATAGACGACAAAGACCCTAACCTAGCAGAAAATTACAAGTCACTTTCATTGTGAATTCTGCCTCTGAATGTCCTCGTCCTGGTACGAAAATTGCACATGGAACATTCTCCACTGCCAGAGCACTCCATGATCAAATTCCTGCTTTACACAGATTTCCCACTTTGTTTCCTTTCCCTCTCGAACCGATTATAACTGTGCCTTTTTTGTCAATTGCTTCGCCAAGTGCTGTTCAAGAAGTCGCATACGCGAAATGTAAAAGCCTAGTCAGCCACGCTCCCGCAGCGCTGCCATTACTAATGATCATTAAGGTCGCGAGTGCGGCTCCACTAGCCAAGCACTTTTGCCGCACCGCAACGACAGGTACTTCTGAGGGACACCTAACTGATCGAAACTGAGTCACGATCCAACTTGCACACTTGTTTCCGCAACAGTGTTAACTTCAAATCGCATATTCCCTGCATCACAACTGCAAGTAGTTTTGCCAGTGAAAAGGGGCGGCGGACTTTTGGCTCGTCCGGGCTGACACGCGGCAAATCGTGCGGCGGGCTGCGCGGTGATCCGGACAAGGTAAGCCTTCGCGGGGTTCCTCAGTGGAATTCAACACGTCAAAGTGTGTGCAAATCAGGGATTAAATCCACAAGGTTCTACTACTCAAATCACTTTCCAGCGCGTGAAGATTCGAGGATAGCAGTAATTGTAAGGAAACTTCTGTTGAAAAAAATGAGAAGAAAAATGGCGATAAGGGCACTCATGTACTAGGAGAGGGGATTGTTTGGGACATTCGACTGAGTGAGTCAATCACTGTGCATGGAACTGAGCGTCGAGGGGAAGGGATTCTTTCTGAAGATGTGAGCAAATTGTGTACTCACTGGCATTTCTCCCCTTCCCTGGGCTGAGTCTTAGTGCCACCTACCATTGGCAATGTTAACCCAAGGAGCATGAGCGCCGCGATCATCAAGCATATGAAGTTGGTATTGATTAAGTATATCCTAGTGAAAGCTCCGAATTTCAGTGTTTTTATTCACTTTATTGGTAGTAGTAACATTTTTGTGAAGGCTCACTCCCATCGCCTTGGCCTGAAATCTCTTCACCGACACCGCTGCATTCAAATTCTCGCGTGCGGAAGAATTTTAAAACCGCAAAACCATGTTGAGTTTATCAGCAATGTGCACAGGTTTTCACGTGTCGGATTCTATGTACTGCAGAACCCGCGAATCCTCACCTCGCATGGACGCCGCGCATGCCAACGCGTAACTCGCCGCATACCAGCCCGGACGAGCCAAAAGTCGCTCACCCAGTGAAAAGGGCGCTATACGGAGTAAATGGCGCATTTTTGCGCAGCGGTGTCCAGCTGCGGACCATGTAATAACATGCAACGCGATCCCGCACGCGACAGAAATGGAACTTTTGTTTCTACCTGATCAGCTGCCTCACTTGCAGATGGAGAAGCCAGAAGAGATCTAATATTTGTTGGATGAACAACGCCAACGACACCGGCATCACAATTACCGGCACAATGCCTAGTGGCACAAGGTAGACGCTCACTGCTAATTGCATGTATTTGTGGATTGTTCTAATATTTACTGTTGCACTAATTGTGCCAGCTAACCCGTTTTGCCAGCCTACAAAAATGTTTGTGAAAGTCACAGTGCTGTGAAGCTATTTCAGCAGGCATTACGTCGTTAACGCCGATACAGAGAAGACCTTTGAGCCGTCCAAATCACCGGCTCCGAAGCGGACGGCAGGTGCTCATCTGGTCCCGGTGACGGTTACCAGACAGGACGGTGCTCCAACTGTGTATTTTTGAATCATCATTATTTTCTCATATGTTCACGCTGCGATTACATTGAAGCAGCGAAAATTCAACAACATCCGGTAATTTTTAATGCAGATGCCTCTTCTGATTAGGACAACCAGAAAAGGTATTTATTGTGGTTGCACATGAATGATGCGATTCTTGAAAAGGACGAACTTCTCTAAAATGCTGGCCGTCGTTCCCAGATTCGTGACGGAAAATACTCAAACAGTATAAATTTTGTAACACCCTTTACCTGTTCTCACTATTCCAAAACTAGTGACTAAACGGTACCCAGATGAGGCTATGTTCAGCGCTTTTCGTCAGCAAGGCACCATTTCCACTAATTTGTTCGAAGAACACTTTTCTTCATAAAACCTTAGATGAGCGTTCCTCCTTCAGTGTCACTTTAAACCTTCTCGCAGTAGGTCTTGTTTGCTAACATTTAGCGTGGGCGTAGTGGTTCAAAAAACCAAAAATTAATTATACCCCACCAAAGTAACAGCACAACTTTAGATGACGCCTCCTTCAGGGTGGAGAACCCATTTCGGCGCTGTTTGGTGAGGACTTGATCACCCTAGGCATGAAAGCAAAGAGCACGAACATCTATGCCCTGGTTAATTGAGCTTTGAAAAGTTGCCCCAGACGCGAAGAGTAAATTCAGCGATTGTTTCCTACACCGCAAAGCTTTAAGTCAATCGTTATGTAAGTGTTGTGAACACTGGATCTTCAAAACCCCCGATACCCTACACGAGGCCCATCGCAATTCGAAAAGGCAGAGACGCAGAGGGTCAGCGGACGAGTCGCAGCGCGCACTGTGCGATGCGGGATGCAATATATATACTATATAGTATCTCTGCCCTCTCGCCGCGTGACGGGTCTATAAGGTACCCTAAAATCGCAACCAGAACAATTGCTTTTCTCTGCTGTTACTCTCCATGATTCACTGCAAGCACTTGAAGAATCGCATTATTCATGAATCCTACTTTCTCAACAGCATATGTGAAAGGATGCCAACCACCCTTATTGCTCAGTAAACTTACCACCTCTATTTATCACGTAAACTACATTGGCAGAACGACCGAAGTATGCAGTTGAGATCCGTCGCAGTGAGGCTCGAAAGATGTGAACGAGGATCTCCCTAACGCGACGCAGTGATGGGTCGCGATGAGTATTACGGAGCATATTGAAATGAAGTAGCGAGGGAACCTATTCTCCCTTCTGCTAGATGATAGGATGCTGTTCCATTATTCACAAAAAAATGAATTTCTTTAATCGCATACGTTCCATAATCCGCCAGCATGTTGCCCAGAAATCGCAATACATACATGTGTGACATCAGATAGCGTCAAGAGCATCAAAATGCACGCACGATTTTGACCAAGACCTCGTACCACTTAGTACCCAATTACGACATACTTCGGGGGAAATAAAGTGTTATGCGATAACCAGTGACCTATGAATTTAATAAAGCTGACGTCCTTCGGTTGCTCAAACTCTGGCTTATCAAGCCTACACAATTGGTACAAACCACTTTTTCCGTACCTACTACCCATCCAGGAACCTGTGCTCAGATCTGTCCGAGTCGATTAAGGACATGAGGGCAAAATTACCAATAACTGCTCAATTCTTCTTCTGCTTCCCAAAGTCAAAGTTCCAAGTTTTGCTCAAACGGCGTTATTGGAGTACTGCTGCGATGGAAACCGACCCAATCTAATTGTGATAATGTAGCAGACGTCCTGCTGGAAACCGAAAATGTTCTACCAATGTGCTATAACACATCCCTTTGAAGCTGTGTCATCCCTTATTTCACTTTTTTTTCTGGCATTCTACTTTCGTAATAGCTAAAGCATTACGTGCTGTGCTATCCAAACACGAATCAGATCTCTTGACTTTGATGACTTCATAAACATGCATTGTGAATGTTGTAAATTTATTGATAAGATGGACATTGAGTAATAAATATTTAATATTATTCATGTCGAGCAAATAGAACCCTTCACGAACTTGATGAACAAAAATAGAATTTTCAGAAGAAAATATGGATAAGTAGCAATAGCCAGGACGGAGCACTAAGGTTCTTAAGTATGAATAACTCGTCTATAGAAACTCTCTACAAACCGAATATCTTTGAAATGACAATATTGAGCACTATGGAAGGTAAGTAGCAAATCATGACATCTTGCTGCAATAACAATTCAGATTGGCAACTTTGGTAAAGAAGAATATTAGATGAACGAATTATTAAACAGTCGACGGTATTTAGGAGCCTGAACGGCCAGCCGCAACTGAATATTCACATTGTGGACCGTCCACGCATATAGAAATATGGACTCAGGAGTGCGCTACAGTGGCGGTTCCGTGAGGTCTGAGTGAGTATCAACTGGTCAGGGTTGCTCGCGGGCACATAATGAAGACAATCCAAGCCTTTAGTCAAGCACGACAACAAACTGCTTATCCTCCACTACCCTTTCGGCGCTGGCTAAATTAAAGGAATCCCCCACGGAAAAGGCCCCGCCCTCATTTCCACAGAAAACGCTACTTTAAAAGAATCTTCCACGAAAAGGGTGATCATTTTGTCTTGTGTGTAGGATTAGTGTTGTCGAAACTAAAGCTTGTGTTCCGTTCTTCTTGCTATGATCATGAGGCTAGGGGCCTGAGGGGTATCGTTTTTCTGTGGTAATGGAGGCGGAGCTTTTTTCGCGGAAGATTCCTTTAAGGGGTCTATATTACCGGTGCGACAACCTATTTCTACTGCTCACTGTTAGGGGCCGCTTCACACAACTTTTCGTTCGTATTTAGCTTTGCACCTATCATCTCATTTTTGAAGGAAGAAAAAAGAGCAATAGGAAGAAGACTTTTCATCACTGGAAACAATTCAGGGCTGAAGCAACTAACAATGCCAGTTCTAGTTGCAGGGTTTGATCAAAACGTGCACGTCCGTACCGGCGTATTGTCGGGGCCCGCGGCATTTCCACTAAGACTTCCGTAAGGGTCCAGAGGGAACAGATCTGACATCAGTACACAACCAACGGGTTACCGGGACCCTGGCGCCGTCAAATAACATGAGAGCCAGCCTCGACCACACACTTCGCACCGAGTTGATGTCGCCGCTTCGGATTTCGTAATGGGCAACGTCGCATGTTTTCTGCTATGAGGAGGCTTGCTGTTCGCGAACCATTCCAATATTCTCCTAATCTCTTTTGAGTCTGTTGCCCGACGGGAGTACATTTGCTTATGTAATCTGCAGGCAATGAAGCATGTCTCAAGCTGCAACGCCTCCAAACAGCAAACAAAACAGAATGTGTCGAAAAAAAAAGCACAATTCCGGCGTTATCGCAGATAGGCGTGCATTGCGACGGCAACGCTCGCGTAAGTAAAGTTGCAAGTAAACTGCGTTAAGCGATTGGTTTTTAAGAAACGGAAAAAAAACACAATAGCGGCGTTATCGCAGATACGCGTGCATTGCGACGGCAACGCTCACGTAAGTAAAGTTGCAAGTAAACTGCGTTAAGCGATTGTTTTTTAAGAAACGGTACCAAGCAGGGGCAGTGAGAAGGGGGATTCCAGTATGTTTGAATTTAATTTCATTCCCCAAAGTTCCTGCTCACCCCTCCTAGGCTTAGTGCTAGAAGAAGCCCCGTATCTTGCGACAGCAGTACTTTTTCTGGATATTTATGAAAAAATTAAGGTGCGCACAGTAAATAGGTCAGATGCTGTTCAGAATACATCACAGTTCTTGACACGGCTCGCTTCGTTAGGTGTTTGAGAGCTTCAATATATAACAGGCTCTAACATAGTTCCATTTTGTTAAAGTTTAGCGGAGTAAACAACCGCGTCAACAGATGCCCCTTAAACGAGACCCAAAAAAAGATCAAGAGAATATAGAAGTGGTACAAGAATAAGTAATCTCTTCGTAACAAAAGACATTTAACGCTGCTCATTACGAAATCCGTGGAGCAACTTCAGCGCCAAGTATGGGGTCGCGGCGGGCTCACAAGCTAGTCGACGACGCCAAGTTACGGTAATTCGTCGCTTGCATACTGATGTTGTATTTTTGTCCAGAAAACTTCAAAATTTGGTTTTGCATGTGTTCGAGGTTTACACGTCCCACACTGAATTAAAAAAGTTCGAGCATTGCAATGGAGGGAAAATAACTGCAAAACTGCTTCTGCTCTTCAAAACCTAAAATTATTTCGTGGAAGTTCACTTTAACGGTACCGCTACTGTACATGACCAAGTACTCTCCATTCGACTGCACGAAATTTATAAAATACGGTGCACGTGCATTCCCTCACTCTACCCCAGTTCCGCTATTACCACAGCCCTTCCGCGTAGGACAACCTACAACTGTAATCTGATTCTCTAAACATCCGTGGAGCCGAAAGTGGAATAAGTTCTATGGCTTTCTTAACTAATCCAGAGACATCACATTCATAAAGGCTTGCTAAACTACCGAAGATAACAGTAAAAAAAATTAATTTAGAAACATCACATTCATGAAGGTTCTAGACTACCGAAGGTCATAGTGAAAAAAGTTATGCGAAGTTAAGTTCCACTTCTCAAGGTTGAGGGCAGAGTAGTCTTTAACTAAAGTAAATCCTCAGAGCGAATTCTGTCCTCAAATAATATCTTTGGCAAAAAGGCCCAAGAGGGCGACCCATGAGTGTTGCTATTCAAACTAAACATATTATAGAAAAGAAAACAATACGACATAGTCCGACTTATGCACTCGAATACCTACTGAAATTATAGCATTTATAGTTTTCCACATGATGACTAGACATTCCATACACTGTCCCCATCGGCAGTTTCCCGTTTTTCACCGTTGAATAAATTATGATATCCAGTTGACACCGATGGACGATTAGCGTAGGGCGTCGAAATCTCGGACAATAACGCTGCTGAGTCCATTATTGTCTGCTCAAATGGACCAGAAGACGTCCTGATAAAATAGAAAATGTTATTACAAAGCTTCAAAGAACAATGAAAAGGTCTAACGGACTGAAGCATCATTGGGTGCGCCATAAAGATGATAACGAAGTAATTATGGCAAGGAAGTTGCTTTTCAAAACGCGACAAGATCATCAATTATGGTTGAGGCCCCGCGAATTATATCCCATAAGTTTCAGTTGCGTTTTGATGACGTCATGTAGCACATCGAGCTCATTACAGACGAGAAATTTTTCCACGCAGCAAGAGATCAGATGCTCAAAAAACTCGCGGCTTAGCTCTAGGATCTCAAATTTAAAGCAACACTCTCAGCAGTGTTTTTACCTTCGACACTAATGATGCGCTAGCTCTAGTCAAGAACATGAAAAGTGTGGCTGAATACGAAACTCACTTTGGACGTCGCTGGGAAGTGAGCTGAACAGCTTCGAAGTGGGCGTGGTTGAAAATTGGCTACAATCCCCTCGGCCGACCCAGCCGCGCCCACCTCAAAACTGTTCAGCCTCTTTTTGGCGGCTTTCCAAAGTGAATTTTGTGTTCAGTCACACTTCTTACGTTCTTGACTAGGGCTAGCGCGCCTCGTTTCATACCACTAGTGTCGAAGGTAAAATTCTGCTGGGACTGTTGCTTTGAAGACGTCAAATCGTTTCTTATAAATTCTTTTCTTCTTTTTTCTGGACTGAATCTATGCCGTATTGGTAAGAGCGATCATTTCTGGCAATAGGGAAGGGTCCCTCCTGAGTTAACATTCTATCGCTAGAGATCTGGAATCAGCGCAAAATAATCAAACATGGGGGTGTCGCACAACACCGGGTGACAGAGTTGCAAATAAAACTGTGAAGAAATAATTGAATAACGCCAGAGCCCAACTTCTTATAAATCCTACGTGCCGCCCACGAAGCGTATCCCAAACTTCCACGAGCCACAGCTCGTGCCGCAGTCAACCAGATCCAACGGTTCCGTAGCCACTTCGTTGCTATGATGAGGTAAACACGTGCAGAACTTCATAGCGGTTCGTTTTGCACTTTCCGTGCTACTTTAGTTATCCTGTCACAGATTTACAGCGGATGCTAGTTTGGTTCAAACAGTGGGCATGATGAAACTGCTTGAATGGAATTATAGGGAGATTCTAGCCATGGGCTCAAGCCAGGGTGAATATCGCTTGAGGATTCCTCAACGGCACGTCGACGATTCTCTGCCCGGTCAGACACTATCTCTCGCGCGGACATTCACACTGGCCTGAGCGTGCCGTCTGTGCTCTCTGCGAGGACGTTCACTCTCGGCACTACTCTCACATGGTAGAGAGCTATGGTCGAGGAAATCTCGACCGTTATTCACCCTGGCTCAAGTTTTGATTGCGAAACTGCCACTAAGAATTTCCAAAATGGTTGACTGTCCATGATCCCCAAGTGCGGGCGAACCTAGTACACCCCTAAACCAGACTTTAAGATCGAATTCCGCGGCATCTGTCAGACCGCTTGTGGTTAAAATCCCCAAATTCACCCACTTCAGTTTTTACTGTTGAAAATAATAAAAATGATAAAGCAAAACACGGAAGAAAATTTAAGGATATTTAATATTCACCATCCTGACCTGATGTGCGATCCAGACTGAAGAAGTGATCCAGACGAGGAACGAGAGTGATCCACTCCCATTCCAATCAATCTAAAGATAAATAGTATAGGCCAATCGTAATAGCAGTTGGCATTATTTTTCTAGGATGCGCCACGTATTCAGCACCATTTACAAGTGCGGTGGGCGATGTATTAGAGTTGTTCAATACGATGAATAGGTAGCTCCACCATTACCTCCTCCTCCCCTACCCTAGACGAACACGAGGAGAGCACTTATCACTTCAGAAGCGGTTTGGATAGCCATGACGAGGTTAGAGGGGATTTCTTCTAGGATAGTGCTTGTAATCAGTGACACCACATGCCACTACGTTACTGAACCCATCAATACACATAAGGAGCAAGAAAGGATATCGAGCTAGTATGGATACCAAGATGGTTATACTCGCCAAAAAATAACGATGCAATGTGAATGAGAAGATTTCGTAAGTTATTACTCACCCCCCAGCGGCACACATTCGACCTTTTCGTTTCCGCTCTTGAATTTTCTGGCGTATTTCCTCCATTTTGTGCATACCGAGTGCAGCAGCTTCGTCATCTCGCTCTTTGGAGGTGTTTTCAAGTATTTCGCCGAACTTTACTCTTTCCTCATTTAGTAGCGTAATACGACGATCCTGAAAAACTCAAATTATACTAACGAAATTGGAATTGATTGAGCTCAATAATTTTTACCTTTTTTCTCATCTTATTATTGGGCTGCTTCAATTTCAACTCAAAAATATTTGTGTTTACTGACTTTGGTAAGAAACCAACGATAGCATGCGATAATGCGTTGTACATCAAAGTATTAGAGTAACATAATAATTTGATCGGTACCGTACATTCGCAGATGAATACAGATGCACAACACTGGTCAAATTACAGATGGATAAAAGCAATCTTACCTTTGCTGCCTGATCGTCCTCAAACTGCTTGATCTTCGACTCCAAATTCTCATTAAGAGCACCGAGGGCAGATTTTTTACGATCTGATTCTTCTTGTAATCTTCTGAAACACAAATAATGAACTCTTTTTACCAACATTACTGCTTATTATTATATTATCATATAATTCGTCCGCATAAGTACATGCGAAACGAGGACGTTATAGTTAGCTCGTCAACTGAGCTAAATGCGAAGTGAATGGAAACTACACGGATGCACAACAGTGCTTCATCCTTTCTACGAGAAGGTGCTGTCGTGACAGCGCCACGACCTCGAGTAAAGGTGCTCCAAGGGAGCTGGTTAGAGGCTGGGCAAAATACCGGTTCAAACTCCGCGCCATCGGCACAGGACCCTGGTTGCCTGCGCCTTCAAGCTGCGCGCGAACCGTAGCCACGTCATTCATTCGCCGTTGCATCATCCTGAGCGGTCGCCCTCTATTCGCCTCTCCGATTATCGGCTGTTCATCGCTGTTATTCTTATTCCATCTTCACGCGATGACACCAGCTCGCCATACAATAGTTAGTTTGGCTTTATCTTATATAACCTTACCTAAATATTAGCTTCAATAGTCTCGCCGAGATAGCCCATAGTAGTTACCACTCCTTACTTCTCTTTAGATCTTAGTTAGTTCACTATGGGAGTTAGCATCGTAGGTCCTCAACTGTATTCGATAGTATTCCTCTAATAAGTAGTATTCACCGTAGTCATTATTAACCTTAGTCTTTTTCCTTCTTTAATTGCAATAGGATTTACATAGTACAAACTCTTTTCGTATGATTCTTTCTAGTATGTATTTGTCGGTATTCTTTATGTAATGTTTGTTCAGGCGACATGAAGAAGTATAATATCTAGGCGCATAACAGTCAAGTCTAACTCAGTCTACGCCGCGCACACGCCGCCATCAAATCTCGCCTAGTCGATCCATCGTGTCATCTCGGATCCTCTTCTTGTTCACTTGGCAGATCGACATCCTTCGCACTACTAGGCAATCAGCACGCGCCAGCACGCTTATGCCCTTTGGGCACAGGGAAGCAAGGCCTCTTGTCAACCCGCTGCAGGCATCAAGGACTTCAGTCAGCAAGCATTCTTCGTTGCACGCGTCTTCCCTTCAGAGGTGTTGTGGGCACCCACCGGAATCCCACGTTTTGTTGTGTCTCGTCGGATTCGCCGATGCGTTTTACTCCACTGATCCGCCTGGCACGACAGGTGCGAGGGTGGTTGCAGCTCAAGTGGGCATACGATAAGGTCAACCAATATCGCCCAACTTGCCTTTTCACTGCTTGTCTGGAATCAGCGCGTGATACGCCACTGAGGCTGCAGCAACTTCTAAGTAAATGTGAAGGTGTGGGTTCCAACCATTACAGAATTGAGTGATTCGCTAACGAATCGCTGGATCCGAGCGTTACGCCAGCGAATCGAACCTCGTACCAGCGAATCAAACTTTGCACCAGCGAGTCGAACTCTTTACCAGCAACTCAATAGCGGCGGGACCCAACATTCAAAGGAAGCCCACCACTTTCAAACAGTGTCACGTGACAGTGAACCTTTTTTGAAAGTGGCGGAACTTGACAGTGGACGCTGTTTGAAAGGGGCGGGCTTCCTGTGAACGTTGGGTCCCGCCACTATTTAGTTGCTGGTACCTAGTTCGACTCGCTGGTGCATCGCGCAATCGCTCGATTCGAATCGCTGGAGCCGGGCGTTGCGCGATGCACCAGCGATTCGCTAGCGAATTGTTCGATTCGCAAACTATGACATCGGCCTAACATGGCCCTGCGATACTAAATAGTCTGGACGAAGGAGGAAGCCAATGCGGTCCCATCAAGCCCTTCAAAATGAGGGAGAATGGTGAGGTAAGGAATCCATACCCAAGTACCCCTTCTGCACCTAAAAAAGCTCAACTGAAGGTGTTGGAGAGTAAGTGGATTCGGAAGCCAGCTGATTTGAGCATGAAGGACGACCCTCCTAGGTCAACGAGATGTTGCAAGACTGGATGAGTTCTAATAAAAATATGAGATGGAAAACACCAAAGATCGCAGGATCCGGGCAGACCTCTCCAAATAATTGGTGCTGCCTGGTCTCAGCTATGCCGGAGGAACCTGGGCCTAAACAAAATCACTGAAAAAGCGGAAGTAGTCCAATCAGACATCAATTGAACGTCGTCTAATAGGTTTAATGTTGAGCCGTAATGGGTACGCCGACAATCAAGTACGTTCTATTAGGTTGGCTAGTTTGAAATGTCGTTTCTGACTAAGGTTTGTTCCTATTATAAAAAGAAAAGGAAAGCTCTTGAGTCTCAAATATATTCCCCATCTATATTAATGACCTTTCTACATTTACCAATGTGGAAGCCCTCCTTGAAGAACATTCCCGGCCGCGACTCGAAAAAGTTGGGAACCTGAAAACTGACGTCATCGCGGTTACTCAGTCTCATTCCCTACTGGAAAAGCTACGCTGACCTGAATAAATGGTGACTGGACGGTGCCAGATCTGGGCTAAATGGCGCGGAGCAGAACGTTCCAGCTTAACTCCTCGGTTTTGTGCTGGGCTATTTTCGCAACACACGCCGCTTGGCAAGTGTGGTTTTTCAGATGCAAAATTTGGTTTTTGCACCGATTTACTCTACCAATCACTCGTAAATGACTATCGTTCGTAGTTGCAGTGTACTTAAACCCCTTAGGATTTCACAGCGTCAATTCTTCTATTAGATGACATCTCTAAATTCTCCAATAGCCAGAATTGCAAGAAATTCCGATGAATTTCGCCTTGTGCTTTCTGCCTCCTTTGCGAATAATACAGCGGCCGTCGCAAGCACTGCCGCAAGATAGTGCGTCTCACTGTCGAGTATTTCGCACAGAACGCGATAAAACTCCTTACCCACTTTCCTTTGTTTGGGGTTATTTCACATGCACATGTCCACACGATGTCTCTGACCAAACGTCTTCAAACAAAAATTGTGGCTTGAATTCAAACATTCGCAGTCAGGTACAACATCGTGAAGTGCAGGTGGACACGTTCTCTCGAATGAGTTTACCCGCCTTGTAAGAGGTTGTGCTAGGGTGATGTCAGAGTCCGCGATCCTTTGCGCGATTTTCACGATTTGCGCGAAACCTGCAATGGATCAAAGGAGTTGGAAGTGCCCGATGAATACTGCGAGGTGTTGTTTGATCCTGCTGCGAATTCTGCTTGGCAGTAAAGATTGGAAGACGGATGTTTGTGGTTCTACTTGTTTCATGCTCGATGTCTATTAGTTCATCGAGCTCTTGAATCGTTCCTTTTTTTAGGAATCAAACCAAACCAATCACAAAAATTGCAAGTGTCCCATTTGAACAATTGAAACACTGGATATGAAACAAGTGGAATCATGAGCAGTCTCCCAAGCAGAAGTGACGGCGGGATTGGAGAACACCTTGCAGTATGGATCGGGCACTTGTGATTTCCGTGACCCGTTGCGCAAATCGCGCTAATCGCGAAAATCGCGCAAATCGCGAAAATCGCGCAAATCGCGCAAAGGATCGCGGACTTTGACATCAGCCCTATAGCACAGAAACTACGATGCAAATGAGAGTGACATTTCAATCTAGCCAACCTAACAGTTCACGTTGATTGGGCAAAGCTCCAATTTGTTGGAGACTTGATAAGGGGAAATGACAAGGGGAAACGATGGAGCTCCGAAACGTAACCGAGTAGAAGGAAACAATTAATCGGCCGCCGCCAGACTCATCGGCATGCCACAACAATGTACATCGTGTTGTGCCCCCTGAGGTGGCCGTACACTAGCTAATTCACCGCCAGTGAGTACAGTAGAAAAGAAATTGGGCCCGTGCAGGTTGTGCTGATCAAAGGGATATTTCAGTACCTAAGTAAGTTCAAGAAGAACCCAATTCTTCTTGCTCCAAAATTGCAAGAAAGAAACTTCTGAAGGAAACAGTTTTGGACAAGCACAGGTAGAACCTTAGAATATAGAAACAGCTTAGAATTCAGCGTGCCAATAACTGTTGACAGCAGAATCTACGATGAGAAGTTAGCTCATTGGAGATAAGGTAGAGGTAGTCAGGGGAGCAGGATGAAGAAGAAACCATTTGAATGCCCGAAACTTGAGAATGGGACTTCTTCCTTTCCCATATTTGCGCACTGGTGCGACTCTCATCGTTGTACCCTCTTCAACACTGCGCTCTCTCCGCTATCTAATCACTCGCCGAGTATGCATCTGCGGCGAGTGAGTGCATAGTCGATGGGCGTTGAAGTATACTGTAACTGCCTTGAAAAGCTGCTCATCCAAAAGTGTTTGCGCTCATGATGGGACTCTCCAAGCCTTTTTCTCGCACATTTTCCAATGGTAGGAACTCCTTCAAAAGGAGAATACTCCCAACAAGTCGTCGTCGTATAAAACAATGTTATTTCCTGCTTTCTAGCGCAAACCAAATTTCTTCCTCTAAATTCTCAGCTTCAACTCTTTCTAATAATTGTACATCCCTGAACAATGTTTTTGCTCGTGATGAATCAAAAATAGAACTATATGTGCTGACAACTACTGCTGTGAGACGCAGCACGTACGCAAGTGTGGTTCAAGCCGCGCACGCCTCTAAAAGTCCATTACCTCGTTGTGGCTTGGATAAGCAAGCTATTCTATTCGCCGCTCGCACTACCATTCCGTCAACATGGGCTACTGCAGGCACAACCTCACCCTACCTGCGCAACTTGACGAAACCGTGATAGATGGCGGCTAGGTAAGAGTAAGGATTTGGAAAATTAAGGTAACTTGAATTGAGTTTACGGGTATGTTGCGCGTTCAACACATTCACAGGTTTACTTCTCCGCCAACATACACAACAGTTTTACGGAAACATTTAAAATTTACCTGTGATCTACGGAGATATTCAGATTTTTATCGAGAGGAATAGTTTTTTGCCCTTTTTCATCCTAGAGCAGCTGCATTACGGTACTGATTTCTAATGGAGAAAGAACCCTATGGTTTCTGGGCAAGGAGCTTCTACCAACCAATGTTAACAACATAAAGCCTGGTAATACTCGTTATAATCTACAATACAAACTAGGCCAAACAGTATCCTCAATTATAGATGGGCTGCTAAACAAATGAATTAAGTCTTCGCGATGTCTATTGGAATGAGAAACGACTGCCTGGAAAAAAGTACTCTGAAACATTGCGCATTACCTTTGTAACTCAACAACAGTCCGCTCCAGCTGTGTTATACGTTCGTCTTTCGCATACAATGACTTCTTCAACCTATTTATCGTCTCCTCGTTCGAATCGCCACCAAGCCGACTGAGTCGTTTGAGGCTTCCATTTTGAGAAATATCCTCAAAACATTTACAAGTTTACCACTTTTTCGAAAATAAAATGGCTACACAAGTCACCGACGGCGCTTACTTTGTTCAGTTGCATTTTCAGTTGAGTCATATCCATTTCCCATTGTGTTCGTTCCTGCGCATGCGATTCATCACGGGCTTGCTTGTCCAGTAATGTCTCATGAAGGAGGCGTTGAAGGTGATTTGCTCTTTCGGCAGCTACCGTCAACTCGTCGCACACCTTCAAGGAGTGTTCTGTCAACAGCACATATCAAACATCAACAGTAATATCTGCAATGGAGCATTACTAGATGGGGGAAGGGGGGGGGGAACTTTTCAAAAAAAACTTCAATCAAACCTTATATCCTTTTGCGTTTCTCTGTCTGAGAGAAAGTGTAAAATCTCATCTCAGAAAGCACATCAAATGGTTTCACGACCTTTGGGGTACTAGGCTAAGTGCGAACCAGAATACATTTCGATTCGAACCAGAGATGACCGTACGGGGCACCCCCGGAAACTGTTTTTCATCGAATCTGCGGTCTAGACGTAGAAGGATTCTATCCCGCGTTGACTGAATGAGCCGCTGTTGCAAAGGCCAACCATGATCACAATTAGGTTTTTATAACGAACTGTAAACAGATTAGGTGCCAAAGATTTGGTGTGTCGGAATTTTCCGCGAGCGATCCGAAGTTTCATCTTTGCGAAACGGGGAGATTTTTGCTTGGTTTGCAGCCATTAAGCATTTGTAGGAGACAAATGATGTTTCAGCAGTTTCCGCATTGTGCTCTCATTGATGTGGTATGTACACCGTATAGAAGCGTTTCAGCATTTGGACGCAATTTTCGGGAACACCCAAAAACTGCTTGGTCGCCAATGTGTTAAAGGCGGATTCTACGGTGAGAAGGCTGTTTATTAGAATTATGGTATTAGGTCATCTCATTCAAACATGTCCAGACATCTAGAGAAATGGTGGGAAAGTAAGAGAGCTAGAACATTCTGCTTGCTTTTGTTTTGAAGCTAGCACACCTAGCTACGGTATACCCCAATTAAGTTTGAAGTGCCGCAGAAGGGTACACTTAAAAAATAAGAAAAATCATTGTGACCAAAATCGAGGCCAGATGCAAGAGTCCAGAATCGAATTGGTGTCTGTAGCATTGACCTTCTCTGCCAATAACGTCATTTGAGAGTATCAAGCTGGATCCTGCTCGTAAACGAAATTTGAGTGGAATTGTGCGCTGAGGCCCAACTCTGTAGCGTCAACTTTGGATTAACGCGAATGAAGAACTACCCGAATTGGATCACGAAAAGTCACGTGGGTTCACGGGAATGATGATAATGGCGATGGATTTCTGAGATGTGCTTCTTGAGCGGCTCTGTCGGCAAAAAACCTACAACGGTGCTCAAGTGTATGGCTTGTTTCTTAGCGATCAAAATGACAAAGGAATAGCAGTAAAAAACTGCAATAACCATATCATCACCTATGCCGATGCCAGACCCCACATAGCTCATATTGCTCACGGGTACTTCGACCAAACGGATATTGTGACCTCTTCTTATCAACCGTTTTCCCAATTGCAGCCGTGCAACCTCAGCTGTTTTAGCGAAGTGAAGTCACTACTCGTTAGCAAGCGCTACGACAACTCGTTGATCATCTATACTGACATCAAGAGCATCTTGTCTATACTTGTTGAAATAAAGAAGCTGCGCGTTGTCAAGTGTTTTCTAGACGCTGGGATCGGGTTTTCAACAACGGCAAGATCTGCGTGACTTAACACCAAAGTATTAGCTTTTCATCTTTCCTGCTGTTCATTCTATTTGGATAAAACCGTGGACATGTTTGAATGAGATGACCTAATATATTATATAGAAAATTGAAATGC